TGGTGGTACAATTTTATAGGGTTGTAAATTTCGTAGTAAAACGTATTGTGGATTTGAGGGCGGGGTGGCCGAACCGACTAACGTGTCTACACACCACCGTTGCCTGTCAACCTATACATAGATAACCGGATAGTCAGGAGTCGCGTCCCGGTGACGGGGGAGTCTTTTAAAATCCCGCCCTCCCCCCCCGACCCGGGAAAACCCCGTATAGCCTTAAATGCAAGGGAGGGGAGGAGCCAAAAAACAAAAACAAACATCTTTGTGGATTTTCAACTAGGAGGAATTTTCAAACATGGTACAAGGGAAAAAACTTGAATCAGACGACAGCAAGTTACAAGTTACAGCAAGTGTAACTATACATAAACTACATTTTTTATAATATTGGATTGATGTAATGTTGCCCAATATCGGTCTTGGTATTGTACTTTGCAAGACCGAAACCAGCGCCGCCTCTCTGTTTCAAGACTAAGACCAAAACTAGTAAAAAAAAAAAATCGATTTTTTGAATACAAATTGAGTAAAATTAGTTACTAATACTTGACAATTTTAGTTACTATAATTAAAGAATTGGTGTAACCACCTTTTGTATTTAACTCTTCTTATTTTTCATTCAGACTTAGGTTTCTCCTATCCAAAAAATTACAATAAGCTTATAGGTAATTGCAAGATACCTGTGCAAGACCAAGACCTAGACAGGACTGAGTTAGCAAGATCAAGACTCGTCTCGCATTTGGGCAACACGTGATTGATGGTTGACTGTAGTGAATAATTGAAGGGAACTTTGGTTGCGGTGTTTAGTGAAAAAAAAAATGACATTCATTTTTAAAATTTGCCGACGTTACGGCCCGAAGTTTTGGACTTCATTAGAGCTAAGAAAAGATCAGATAACAGTAGATATGAGAAAGTATTAATTTATGAAAAAATAAATGATAATATTAATAATAATATTAGGAATAGATGTAAAAAAGTATTAACAATAACTTTTCTTTTTGGCAGACTCTCAAAAATAAATCCAATATGGGCACGCTTACCCAAGGAGCCCCACATCATTGGGACTTTACATTTTTTATTTTTATATTTAGCGTTAATGACCAAACAATTGCATCCCAAACCCTTCAATCACCCATCACAAACCTTGAAGAATGGTATCAAAACTGAAGAATAAAAATAACTTCCAATAAATCCCATCAAATCACCTTTACCCTTCGTCGTAAACCTATGTCCTCTTGTCCTACAGTATCCTTTAATAATACCCCACTTATCCCCGTTGAACTAATTTGATACCTTGGACTCCACTTAGCCAAATGTCTAACTTGGAATCCTCATACCAGACTGAAATGACAAGAAACAGCTCGACGTTTCCGACTACTCCAGCACTTACTAGACAAACGTTCTAACCTCCGAGTCAGTTACAAAAGACTCATATACATGACTACAATAAGACCTATTTGGACTTACGGAGTTGAGCTCTGGGGCTCCACTAAGCCATCGAATTCCTCTCGTATCCAATCCTTACAATCCAAAATCCTTCGTAAAATCCTCACTGCTCCTTACTTTGTCACAAACAAAATCCTCCATAACGACCTTAATGTTCCTTATGTTTCTGATCTGGCCCAATCCAGATACCTATCCTTCCAATACAAACTTCAGAACCATCCAAACCCTCTCGTTTCTAACCTTGCTTCCTCTTCGATCCCTGACAACCCTCAGAGGCGTCTGAAAAGAAGATGGCCTCGAGATCTCCTTTTGTAAATACATGTTTAGAGTGCTACCAATGGGTAGTTTCTCAACATGTTATTTCATGCTATTTTATTCCTTTGTTCACATTTACTGAATGTATTTTTACATGTAATACAGTTGTAAATATCATCAATAAAAAAATAAATAAATGAAAAAATATTTAGCGTTAATAAAAAATAAACTCTTCCACGGCTCCCAATGGTTTAGTTACGTTACTGAATAGAGGCATGATTTGTCCAATGTGGCCCACTTAAGAATTATTATCACATTCGAGATAAATAAATGAAACTTCGTGAACATGATAAATACATATTAAAGATTGAAATCTCAATAACTGAGGAAATAAGCCTCAGTATATTAGAGATTGGGACCTGTGTACATACAAAAAGCTCCTTAGCTCCACACCTCACTAATTTATCTGGAATAAAGGAAACATGGAGAGAAGAGGGCGAGATTTTTCACGTAGTCCCTTGGGCTGTCCTTATTCCCAGCAGAAGTCTCCAGAGAGTTTTTCGTTTTTCCAGATCTCTAAGAAAGTAGTTTCGCTGGTTCAGAACTATTCTTGTTAATTGTATATGTGGATGATTGTGTAAAAGCACACATGTAATTTAATATCTAATAAAACAACTTCATACAACTAATTGTATTTAAGGAATATTATTGTTACGGTTTTACAAAAACCGTATTGTAGAATTTTTTTAAAAATTTTAACTTCAATCGTGCCTTAAATATTTTAATTACCATGATATATCATTTCTATAATAAAATTTAAATTTAAACATTTATGAAATAGGTTTTATGAAACAAATAAAAACAAATCCATATAGTATTTATTTCTTTTTTAAATTTTATTTTAATATATTTTGAATGCCATAAATACATAAAAACTACACTCTAAGAGAGTTTCCTGTTTCCAATGCTCCCAAACATTCATATTTCTATTCATTATTTTATTCATCGAGTTCTTAACTACATCAACAAAAATACCGATAAAATAAAATATTCTATATTCCATGTAATCATGAGAAATCGAAATGAAAATCAATCGTTTATTATTCTTTACTTTAAATGGAATAAGTAATTATAAATATTAATACAGTATGTGGTGTTTAAAACAGAAAGTAATGTTGGTATAAAGGGATATTTCTGATATTTATCAAAATAAAATATTACCTCTTTAATTTTAATTCGAGAATTCGTTTCCTAATTGAAGATATAAATTAAAAATTAAAATTTTTGACGATTATTTTATTGTTATTATACAAGAAAGGTATATTCTTACGTGCTTATTTCAATTCAAAGTTATTCATAAAATGCTTACTGTCTGGCAATATCAAATGCCTTTCTGTCATCAACAATAAAATCCATCTTAAAGAAATTTAATTTTTTTTTTATATTTATATTAAAATATATATATCACACCAGTCAGAAGTACCGACAACCAGCGAGTTTGATGTCGAGATGTAGATGATTGGAATAGGCGTGAGGGAGAGGAATGCCCAGCGGCGGCCTTCCTATTTTGATTTTAATATATAGTTAGAGAAGGAGATCCCTCATCCAGCTTGTTTTGAGCCTCCTAAGGGTACTATCGGGAATATAAGTTGTGTCTTTGCCTGGAATCAGTGAGTTGGTGTGTCCGTGTGTTATTGTGAAATCTTTTGTAGTATGTTTGTATGTGGTCGTCAACTGTTGGTATCTGTAGGTCTTTATGTAAAGCAATGTTACTGACATTCCAGGGAGCCTTGGTGATAGACCTGAAAGTATTTGATTGAAAAGTGTATATGTGTTCAATATTTGTCTTAGTTTTATTTTCGTTTTGAGATGAGTGAGTATAATAGTCGTAGTTTTAGGTTTAGAGATTTTGTTTTTTTCTTGATATGTGGGCCCCTTGTCATTCTCCTATGAAATGTCAGTCCAAGATATTGAACTTGTCTGTCTGAGGAATGTGGACGTATTCAAGGTGAATAGCAGGGCAAGTTTCACGTCGAAGGATGAAAGTGGTATGTGGTGATTTGTCCTGGTTGAGTCGAATTTTCCAGGGTTTGCACAGGTCGTGAAATTTGTTTAGGTGATATTGTGGAGTCTGTGAGGCGTATATTGAATTTTGATGTCTTGTCAAGATTGTTGTATTGTCTGCGTAAGTCTCGGTAAATTTATATTTATGTAAATTATAAATTAAAAAAATTATTTGTATTATTGTTAGAATGGTGAGAATATTAACATTACTTGGAAAAAGTTTCTAAAGTAGGGTTCGGTAGTGTGTGCTTTATAACAATTGATAACAAGGGAATAAAGCTGGAATGATGGATTTGAACAAAATTCAGATGAGCTCATCATGGAGTCAGGGAGAGAGCGGGGCAACAATAAGCGAGCCGTTGCTGAGGATATGACAACTTTGTGTATCCCTGTTTTGCATCCCCCCCCCCTCATCTCCCTCACCCCCTCACCCTCCTAGGGGGTGAGAATCGGGAATTAAATCTAACCCCTCGTCCGACGGGGAAGTTATTTCAACGTCCCGCTTAACAAATCTATGTACTCCGTGTTTTCATTAGTATGTGCAGGGATATACTTGAATTAATCCACTCAGGGAATGTATTATATGATTTTAGTGCATATATATTTAAAGGCATTGTTAACAATGACAAAGTGTTTATAAACTTAGCAACATATTGAGAGTAAACTTCTTCTTCGACTTTATTTCATAAATAAATAACATAAGGTCAAACAAGCGATTTCTTTTAAAAGACCAATTATTAGCAGATTAAAAGAAAACCCTAAAGTCCTATCAGCTTCAAAAAACACGCGCAAAAGGACAGTTCTGTCCCGATTATAAATTTGATCTAAAAAATATCATGGTATTAGGAATAAAGGATTATATCTGCATTTTTTATTTATTTATTTATTTTCATAAGAAATAACTTGATCAACTGAACGAAGACTACCTAAAAGAGCATATAATTCAAGCTGACACAATAATTCCATAATCACCTGTATAAGTACAAACTATAAAAATAAAATTCCATAATCAAAATAAAAAATGGATATGAAACCCATATCAAAAAAGAGTTATAAGTATTAGTTTTAATACCTTTGAGGAACCACAAGCCTCTTAGCAAAGCTTTTTTTCGGGTTTCAACGTAGATCTGCTGGATATATTGATTGATTGCTATTCTATTTAATATATAAATATAATATATTTTTAAAAATGAATTATTTTAAAGTTTAAATATTTTTGTTTTGTTTTTTGTTTTCTGATTCAGAAAGGAAGAGGGGCCGCCAGACCTACACGCGGTACCAGACGCTGGAGCTGGAGAAGGAGTTCCACTTCAACAGGTACCTGACGAGGCGGCGGAGGATAGAGATCGCCCACGCGCTCTGCCTGACGGAGAGGCAGATCAAGATCTGGTTCCAGAACCGGAGAATGAAGTGGAAGAAGGAGAACAAGACGAAAGGTGACATCGGAGCCAACGAAGGCAGCGACCTGTCGCCGCAGACATCGCCGCAGTGAGATCCGGCCCTCGAGGAGCAGTTTCTCTGAATCGTGCAAAATGAAATGGAGGAATTACAGGAAAGAAAGGAATAGATTAAAAGAATTATATCCTTCGCCAACGCTCCTTCGAGGAACATGGACTCCGATGGTCAGCACCAGGTGCTCTGCTTAATATATTTATTGATTCGTCTTGTATAGCGCTACCAAAGCTAAAGTATTTAGAGTCCGCGGAAATATTGGACATAACGTGGAACTCATAAGTGTTATTTTTTTTTCCAATTCTGTGTGCGCGTGTTTTAACTGAGGACCATTTTGGCAAAAAAAAATATGTGTAATATATGGCATCAGGACAATTACAAATGTATAAATATAACAACAAAAAAAACAGCATGAAAATGTAATTTATTTTTCAGTTTAATTATTATTGTATGATACCACAAGCGCAAGTGCATCCCCCTACGACTCTAACCTATAAATACTCTATAAAATGATATATAATGATATTGATGGGTAGGGCGGTGTATTTGCGTTTGAACTACCTCTAGAGGGATAGCATCCCCTTCCAGTATCATAGTTACCAAAGTATACAAAAATCTAAAACAAAAAAAAAAAATTATACCAATGGTCGAGTGGCAGACCTTACAAAGACAATATACTTATGAAAGTGTATAGATTGAGCTGGTGAAAATAATAAATAATATGGAAACAGAGATACGTAATGAGCCGTGAAAAAATATATGTATAAATATATATGTAAAAGAATATTTTAGATTGCTAAATAGATCTCTAAAGAAAAAGTGCAAATGTTGATGTGAGTTGTATGAGTGATGCCAAGTCTATAGGCATAGCGATCGTGTACCTACTAGTTCGTATTTGTATTTAAAAAAAAAATAACAAAAACAAAAAAAAAATCATAAATAAATCTTATACATAAAGATCGTGTTTTGTGTCAATATAGTGTTAAATATATATATATAATTGAAGCTATATATATTTACATAATTACATAGTTATCATAATGAAAAATGAGTAAAACTAGGTAACTGGAACTTGGCTTATCTCACTGATTATGTTTTGTGGAGGTAAGCTCTGTATACCTGACGTTGGCCTTCTCTGTAACGAAGTATACGTTGAAAAGTTCAAATTCCCAAGAATCATAAATTTCGCCAATAAATTGAAAAAATATATATAAGAACATCAGATTGCACTTTAATTCTGTCGCACCCTTAAATGTCAAGGATTATGTGTATATTAGATATTTTTGAGATATTTTCGCATATATAATAATCTTTTTAATAATTGTTTCGTCTCCTCAACATCCTCCTTTCGCGGTCGAGGATCTGTGTTTTATTAGGCTATGTCCTTTGTTTTATACTTTTTAAATTTTGAGATTTTGTACTTAATGTGGAGAACCCCGATAGCGACAGCACGGATGTTGAGCTGATGAGTGTTTAAAAAAAAAAAATCAAAATACTAAAAAAAAATTGGTATTCAACTGTTTGGACTGAAAGAGTTATACTAATTATGAAAGAAATGGTGCGAATGTTTTCATTTTGTAATTTTAGGTTCGTTTGTGCATTGTATTTAAAAAAACGGCCAAATAACAGTTCCTGGATTTTAATGTGAAATTTATTTGGTATTAATTAGGTTCGCGAATGAATGTTGTCTATTTTCTAATTGGCATTGTATAGTATATTGAATAATTATACCAGTCATATTTGTAATTCAATACTCAATCTAGACATATTTTGTACGGTATTGAATTATATATTATATATGTATAGTACATAATTGTGTATATGTAGAGAGTTAAGCATAGTAAAAAGTTTTATTTAAAAAAAAAATTATTTACCAATAGAATAAAAGAAATCCATCTCAGAAAGGCTGATATTAATTAATATTATATTTTTTTTTTCTGGCTACATGATATAATTTTTCACAGACATATGAATTCAAATGATGATTAGGAATTTATTTATTAAAATGGATTTTAAAAATGATTCGAGTGGATTTCTTTTTTTTTTTTTCTTTGAATAAAAATGATATATTTCAAAAATATAAAATAACAAAAAAAAAATTACAAAAAATCAAAATAAAAACAAAACGGTATTATTTGTAGATAGTCGAGAACATACCTCATATTATCGTCATTCGTTTTATATATATATTATTCTTTTCCCCATCCAACCCATTTTTCCATTTCTCTACATTAGCGGTGTAGCATTCTGGTAGCTCTATGTACTATTTCTATTTACAGAGTACCTCTTTTTTCTAATAACTATTTGTGATTTTAAGAGATAATTAATTTATGTTTTATAAAAGTTGAGCACTCACCCTTACCCTTTTCCCCTTGTCCCCTCCCTTGGAGATCTATTTATTGATATAGTCATTGTAAAGTTGTCATATTTGTAAGTATAAATTGTAAAATCAATATAAAATTTGTCCTATATAATTTTGTGTTTGAAGAAATAATAAAATTCTTTAAAAAAAAATAATAATATGTGGTTGAAACTGCGTTGTTTTTTTTCTTAAATGAACCTTCCATTAAAATAAAAACATTAAATGCATCAAGTAAAACAAACAACAAAAAACAAAATAAAATAAAAGTCAAATAAATAATAGCTAGTATTACATTTAAATGAAAATATTGAATGATCTTCATGTGTGGATGTGTTGATTGGAATTGATGAAGTGTAATATTTCGATATAAACACCAAATTATATCTTCATGAGGAAGTGGACATTATGTTCTTTTTATGTTGATTATGTTGATGAAGAAATAAGAAGGATAGATGATTGTGTTTACATTCTTCAACATGTTCACTGCGTAAGGTAAGAAACATATCAGTATCTATTATGCGTTAGTTTTATTGCTTTATATTTTCTTAATGTTTTATAAATTCTTATAATTATTAAATCAGTAACTTTATTAGATTTTGTGGTTTGATATTATTTGATTAACAATATTTGAGTTAAAAAATAATATAATTAATTATTACTTTGCATGAGTACATGTTCCACAATGAAATTAAATTGTTAATTGGTGTTTTAAAATTTCATTTGCAAAACTAGAATTTTAATGAAATAATATATTAATGCTGTAGCTTAAATCAAATTAAATATGTGAATTTATACATGATTTATACCAGCATGTATGAAAAGCTTTGTGCATGCTACAGTTTTTTTTTATTAGTTTGATTTGTTTATTAATCGGAGAAATAAATGTTAATATTCCCAAGGTCATATAGTAAACAGGATGTGAAGGAGTTGGAAGAACAGGTAATAAAATGAAAATAAATACAATATCTTGTAATTATTAATTTTTATTTTTAATTGTCTTTATTTTACTCATATCCAATATTATAAATAGACTATTAACAGTAAATGAGGAAAAATATACCAAGAATTACCATTCAGTTGAGTTTTTGCACTGTTGTATTAAATTATCGTGAAATAGATGATGAGTCTGAAATATAAAAATGAAGCATTAATTACCCAATTAAATAAAATAATAATAATTGTAATTAGCATAAAATAATTGTACTACATGATTTAAATATAATGTGGTATTAATTCATATTGTTGATGCCTTAAATAATGTGATGCCTTCATTGCCATTTGATTGATAGTATTGAGATAAACATTAAGATACTCTTTAATTATGGTATTTTTGTTTAAAAAAATCACCACTCGAGTCCAGTTTCTAAAACATGTCAACTATTGAAAAAAATTAGATTATACCACAAAGTTAGAAGACGAAGAATACTTTTAATGGCAGATAAACGGCTATTAAAGGAAAATTTGCATTACCTAATCAGATCCTAAAGATAATGAAACTGACATATCCGTACTGTTAGTGCAAGAGGTCCTTTTTGAAAGTTGCATTTGCATAATTTCATATTTTGTTTTCCTCTGCTATTTTCCTATTCAGCAGACTTTATAAAACATTTAGCAGACTACTTATAGCAGTTGCAGATAATAAAATGTCACTTTTAGTGAAAAGAGAATAAGCATGTAAAATTGTTACCTACGACCTTTTGGACAAACAATAGTAATATGTCGTACCAGGGGTCCCCAGAAGATGGTTTGATGGCAAAAGTTGAGCTATAAAAAATTTTTGAGGGGGGTATATTTCGGTGAGTATAAGAATTTTCTGAATGAAAATTTTCATACAAAGGATCAATGAGACAAAAACATGGAATATACCGCAGAAAGTTTAATTGTATATGATCTACGATTTTTTAAATTCTGCCTTCGCTTGCTCTGTTTTTAAGAAAAGGTGAACAATATAATGCTTTGGGAGTGGACAAAGGAATATATTCTTGCGCCGTTGACCTTGGGGAGGAAGGGCACCCTTTTTCGTACCAACAAGCTTTGCTACCATACTAAACAAAATAGTGGAATAATTAGTAGATAATTATAAAAAGACAAACAGAACTGAATTTTCTTCCTTAAGGAACTTGCTCACAAACGCGTTCCAACATACCCAGATGCCATCTTTAAATTCTCACCCCTCTTGATTTTTCTGTTGGTATTATAGACCTCGTTGATATTTTGCCACATTGGCCAGATTTTCCCATCTATCCCTATGTTGGACTATTTATTTCTAGTTACCTGCATACTAGCATTGTTGTGTAGGGGCTCTCTAATGGACCGCCTGGAGCTACATGTCCCATCTTAACCTCCTCGCCTTCGCATCATGAAATTTTGATTGATCAGTAAGCAGTTCATTGTTGGTCCTTCTGCATCCTCACCTTCCATTGTAACACATACAAAAATTACAATCCTCTGTTTCTATCATACTCCTTGGTCTTAAATTCTACAATAAACTTCATTACGTATCTATTTTATATTAGATAAATAACGTTTTTCCTTTAATATTTTATTATTACATACTTGAATACACTTTTATACCCTTAGAACTTCATGCGAGACTTCACATATACGTGAGAGCCCAGGACTTGCAAAGTTCCACAATGACTCCAGACTTAGACGTTAGAGGCTGGAAGAGATGTATC